AAATCTGTATGCTAGATATTGAGTAAGGTGGTTTTATTGTTTTTTGTCACTTTGAATAATATTTCTGTTCATGTTAAAAACAAAATCAACTCTCTGTATAAATATATCAGGTGACCGTTAAGGCCCATGGGCCTCTTGTCTGTAGTTGTATGCATACTTCAGTTCCGGGGAAAATATTAGTGACTATACCAGTAAAATATATATTGGGAAATGTTCGCCACAGACCAGCTTTCGCCCTCCATGATGACACGAACCCTGACAAAGAATGTTAACGTACAACATACTATTTGTAGTCATTACATCATAGCTGTTGAACCTCCCTCATTGGAAGTTTGGAGTGAGGGAGATCTCCCTCATTGGAAGTTTGGAGTGAGGGAGATCTCCCTCATTGGAAGTTTGGAATGAGGGAGATCTCCCTCATTGGAGGTTTGGAATGAGGGAGATCTCCCTCATTGGAGGTTTGGAATGAGGGAGATCTCCCTTATTGGAGGGCTCAGAGGCTGACACCTCTGATTACATGTAAGGAGTGATATAAACAGTGGGCAAATATGGCTTTTATCAGTGAAGGGTGAAAGTTTGACTGGGCGAACATTTCCATGTACATGTAAAAGGTAAATCCTTATCAAAACTTACCTGTTGGATATCTTCTATATATATAGTGTGTTTATGTTAAAAGTCATTATCTTGAATTTTTTTATCAACTAGAAACCTTGGTAAGCATTTATTCATTCTACATAAGGTAACAAGTGTAAAGACTTGGAATGACAATTCAGGTGTGTTGACGGTCAATCACAACTTGATCGGTAGTGTACTGTGCATGCAGTTATATGGAAGTTTGATAGAAGTTGTACAAGATGGTATAAATGCCATGCATGCTGTAATTGAAATGTAATGTTCTGTACAAAAATATTTAACCAAATTTATTGATCAAGGTGATGTTGTTTGTGTATTTAATATATATATATATATATAATCTGCCTCCCTTTATGAATCTAACATGTGGTAAAATTTACTAATGTTTTTTTTTATGAATGCAACAACTCAGACCATGAATCAGTTTTCGTCTTGATTGTTAAACTATATACTGATGTGACATATATGTTCTTCAAGTTTGCTGGTTTACAGGGTGTTTAACTCATTCAACCCTGAAATTTCATAATGAACTATTCCAACCTTTGAATTGAACGAGTTCAAATGTGTCTTCAGGGGTGAATGTGTTAAATGTGTGCTACTCCTGTATAGTGTGTTGCGCTAATAGATGACGGCCATGCTGCCCTTCCATTTCAGATTCTTTAGCTGGAGTAACAAGAGTAAACAGCAAGCACAGCCCCAGCAAAGACCAACAACCCCCAGTCCTAAGGTGGCGAGACGCCGCGGCAGCAACTCCAGTGACCGATCACGTGATGTGAGCTCTGACGTCAGCGGCGGCGACTCCCCCGTACACATGTCTGCCCCACATCACTCATACAGCACCAGTGACCTGAAGGAACTCGGCAACAACCAGAAATCGGCACTTTCCCAGAGGTAGGTTGTCAGTATACACACTCACTTCCAAAGTCTAGCCGTACTGGTTTTCTAAATATGTGTTTGTTATTAATGCATTACATTTTCGTTAATTATTGTAATTGAATGCATTGACTTATTGTAGAATTTTTTTTCATTTATCAATGTTTGCACATCTTCAATATGTATTGTTAGTTTTGATATGTCGGTGATTTCTTTGGTCCTATGAATAAAAAAAGTTTGTATACCTATCATATATATAACCAGATCATCTGTTATTGTTCCGTTACTAGGACATTAGCCTCCCAGCTGCCACTATGCAGTAGCATAGTTATCTCCCTTGCCACACACCCTTTGACTACCAGCGTACCATGTAGTTGACTATCTTTTTGGACATGTAGAACGTTTTAACTGACGATTTGTCTGTAGATTTGTGTTTGTTACAACTGTTCCCTTCTGTTGACTCTCCAGCTTGAAGGGGTCTGACAACAGTATTTCTATCAGGTAAGAGAGACTGGCTTTGGTGTAGCTCTGCTGGTTATGACTGTGCTATGCTATGAAATGGTACTGTTCTGTACAAATAGGCTAGCTGTGGTTTAAAACCATCACATACATCTAGGCTAGTTGTTGTCATTGTTACAATATTGTACCTACAACATCACATAGGCTAGCTGTTGTCACTATGTCAATATTGTACCTACAACATCCCATTTGTTTGCTGTTGTCATTGTTACAATATTGTACCTCCAACATCACATAGGCTAGATGTTGTCACTGTTACAATAATATATCCAACATCAAATAGGCTAGATGTTGTCACTGTTACAATATTGTACCTCCAACATCACATAGGCTAGCTGTTGTCACTTTGACAATATTGTACAGGCTTGCTGTTGTCATTGTTCCAATATTGTATCTACAACATCCCATAGGCTTTCTGGTGTCATTGTTACAATATTTTATCTACAACATCCCATAGGCTTACTGTTGTCATTGTTACAATATTGTATCTACAACATCCCATAGGCTGCACAATAATGCTTTTATTAATGGTTAGGTATCTTAGCTAGCAGTTGTCACTGAGGAATACTGTAGCTAACTAAAACGCATGTCACTCATGTCACGCTGTGCTTAAAACCATTCTGAAAATATTATTTGGACCTACTGTTGTCTTTGTCACTGTTACCAGTACTTGGTTGTTGAACCTCTTTAAAGTAACTTCCACTTTGTTAACAAGTCGAGTCTCTCACTCTGTACCTTTCGTAACTGGCTGCTATATATTCTTTGGTTTTCTGCTAAATGCAATGCTGGTACAGGTACTAAAACGTTACTTCACCAAGCCTCTTGACAAAAAATAGAATCTTTTGGCGAGCCAGTATACTGGAATTTTACTAGCTTGATACCCAGGTCTAGTAGATGGTACATCAGGGCTAGTGAAAATTTTCAATATTCATTGTTAAAATATAGGTCATGATAGTAGATTTTTTTAAAATCTGCCTACTGTCTAAAGCACTGTCAATACAAAAATGCACATCCCTGGTATACCACTTTCAAGCTGGTAAACTTTGCAAACTAGCTACTCTGTACACTAGTAGACTCTAATGAGCTGCTACACTGGCATGGTGTTCTGCTATCTAGATGGTAAACTGTAGTGGCACCAGTGGTCTGTAGTTTGTTAGACTCTAGTGAGCTGTCATGCTTACATAACACTATCTAGATAGTAGACTGTAGTGGTACAGGTCGTTTGTACTTTGTTAGACTCTAGTGAGCTGTCATGCTAACATACCGTTATCTAGATAGTAAACTGTAGTGGCACCAGTGGTCTGTACTTTTTTAGACTCTAGTGAACTGTCATGCTAATATACCACTATCTAGATGGTAAACTGTAGTGGTACAGGTCGTTTGTACTTTGTTAGACTCTAGTGAGCTGTCATGCTAATATACCACTATCTAGATGGTAAACTGTAGTGATACAGGTCGTTTGTACTTTGTTAGACACTAGTGAGCTGTCATGCTAATATACCACTATCTAGATAGTAGACTGTAGTGGCACCGGTACCAGTCGTCTGTACTTTGTTAGACTCTAGTGAGCTGTCATGCTAATATACCACTATCTAGATAGTAGACTGTAGTGGCACCGGTACCAGTCGTCTGTACTTTGTTCGACTCTAGTGAGCTGTCATGCTAATATACCACTATCTAGATAGTAGACTGTAGTGGCACCGGTACCAGTCGTCTGTACTTTGTTCGACTCTAGTGAGCTGTCATGCTAATATACCACTATCTAGATGGTAAACTGTAGTGGTACAGGTCGTTTGTACTTTGTTAGACTCTAGTGAGCTGTCATGATAATATACCACTATCTAGATGGTAAACTGTAGTGGCACCAGTCATTTGTACTTTGTTAGACTCTAGTGAGCTGTCATGCTTATATACCACTATCTAGATGGTAAACTGTAGTGATACAGGTCATTTGTACTTTGTTAGACACTAGTGAGCTGTCATTCTAGTGAGCAGTATAATAAACTGTAGTGGCACCAGTCATCTGTACTTTGTTAGACTCTAGTGAGCTGTCATGCTAATATACCACTATCTAGATAGTAAACTGTAGTGGTACAGGTTGTTTGTACTTTGTTAGACTCTAGTGAGCTGTCATTCTAGTGAGCAGTATAGTAAACCGTAGTGGCACCAGTCATCTGTACTTTGTTAGACTAGTGAGCTGTCACGCTAATATACCACTATCTAGATGATAAACTGTTTGGCACCAGTACTTGGGTAGACTCTATAGTGAGCTGTAACGTTTGATAGGAATTAACTGTACAATGTTACACCTCTGCAGAACTGTGTTTCGACGTTCATCTAGCCTAGATATGTGGAGGAAGGATTCCAACATGGTAAACCAGGTGATAACAGTAACACCTGGCTCGTAAATATGGCAGAAGTATCTTGTCTGTCAAAACTTTTCAGGGGCTGTATTCATGAAACCATTCTCATGCTAAACATGGATTCTGTGCTCATACCAACTTTCTTGTAACTCGACACTTAAATCAAGTCAAACAATCAAAAAGTCAAATGTAAACATTGAAAACAGTATTCAGCTCAAAGTCTCTTCAATATTTTTCCAAATTATTGACATTTCCTTTTTTATTAATTTATAACAGAAACCAGAGATTCGGCTTGAGCACAAAATCCATGGGAAAGATTTCATGGATACAGGCCATGGATATGTCACACATTACTTGAGGAGATAATCCAAGTCATTTTAAGTGATCAAAATAATTCAAAAAAATACAAATGAATAGAAGTGTTTTGCCATTGGAAGAGTTTTGATTGAGAGCAAAGTATAGTATGCCATATTTTATAATTTTGTATCCGCATTTATGTTATAGGAATATTGACAATATCTACTCTCTTCTCGGATAACTTGTCTTACCTGTAAATGATCTATTAACGATCTAAATGTACTTATAAACAATGTACCTACGTGCCATCTACCTTTTCATAATTTACCTGTTATCAGTCTATCTGTTTACAATCTACCGTCATCCGTCTGTCCATCCTTCAACAATTTCTTCAAACAATTTTTTCTTTTAAACCACTGATTGGAATTAGACCAAATTTGACTGGAAGCATCCCTAGGTGGTCAGGATTCAAAAATGTATAAATGTATGAGCTGACCCCCGAGGGGGCTGAGGGGCGGGGCCAAAAAATTGGCAATTTGCCTATATTGCTTAAATGACTCTGGAAATAAGAGATGGATATTAACCATATTTGGTTTGGAGCATTCTCAGGTGGTGAGGATTCAGAATTGACCCCCTGATGGTTGGGGCAAAAAAGGGGTAAATTGGCCATATTGCTTAAATGACTTCTCTGGAAATTAACCATATTTGGTGTGAATTCAGAATTGTACAAATAGAGGGGCTGACACTCAAAAGGGCTAGAGGTGGGGCCAAAAGGGGTAATTTGGCCATATTGCATTAAGCGACTTCTTCTCTGGAACAAAGTGTTTTTGAAGTACTTTTAACTGTTTAAGCCTATTCCCTTTATAATCTGGGATATCTGTGTAAACCAGATCTTCAGCTAGGTCCATTGTATGTTTCTTTGTAGATTTAACCTGTGTAATCAGGAAACCTTTATAAACCAAATGTTTAACTGGTTACTACTATATATATTTTTATAGTGAACCTCTGTAGTCTGGAAACATGTATAAAGTAAATATTTAACTAGGTACTATTGTATACATTTCTCTGTCAATTGAACTGTGTAATCTGGAAACCTCTATATACCAAATCAAGGTTCTATTGTATAAGTCTCTATGAAGAACCTGTATAATCTGGAAACCTATATAAACCAGATAATCAAAACAAGGTTCTACTGTATAAGTCTCTATGTAGAACCTGTATAATCTGGAAACCTGTATAAACCAGATCATCAAAACAAGGTTCTACTGTATAAGTCTCTATGTAAAACCTGTATAATCTGGAAACCTGTATAAACCAGATAATCAAAACAAGGTTCTACTGTATAAGTCTGTATGTAGAACCTGTATAATCTGGAAACCTGTATAAACCAGATCATCAAAACAATGTTCTACTGTATAAGTCTCTATGTAGAACCTATATAATCTGGAAACCTGTATAAACCAGATAACCAAAACAAGGTTCTACTGTATAAGTCTCTATGTAGAACCTGTATAATCTGGAAACCTGTCTTACTAAAACAGAAAGTTGATTTGCATGGTGTTCGGTTTAGACAAGTTTATCTATAGTAAAAATGCATGGTCATTTTCAGATTTCATAATTTAGGTATGATACCTCCAGATTCTGATTAAAACAACAAATGGGTTTCATTACTAAGTACAGCTCTTGCTCATGTGTAATATTTTGTATCACATATGAATTCAATTTTGGGCTTTAAATTGGAATTTACCCCCTATCTCAAATATATTTATATGTAAGTGTGGGGATGCGGCTTTTCTTGTATCACAGGAGTCTAGCTGCTCTCATCATGGCTTCTCTAGGGGTGTTCAAACATCAGAGTCTAGCCGCTTCTCTGAAGACATTTTCAGAGTCTAGCTACTTCTCTGAATACCCCCGGAGTTTAGCTTATTAAATATTATGATGACTGTAATTTCATTATGTATGGTAGTTAATTTGTTGGAGTGCGTAACCCGTGATGGGCCCACTATTTCACTGCTTGTGTATATGATACTGAACTAGTATAATAAACATGTAAACTGTTTCTGTGTGGTAGTTGTGTATAAACGAGTATAGTGTATCATACGTGTACAATGTATCATATATAGAAAATTTGCTGATTGTCATTTTATGAACTGTAAACTGCTGTTTAATTTGTACTATAATGGTCAAGCTGTATTTAAAATACTATGATCTGTCAGCCATCAGTCTTAACTCATTCACCACTGAAATTTCATAATGAACTATTTCAACCTTTGAATTGGAAGGGTTCAAATGTGTCCTCAGGGGTGAATGAGTTCATATTGTATCTGTCTCTATCATAACTTTATACATTCAAATCTTGTTTGCTGAGACAGCCCAGTCAAAACAGGTCAAGGGTCCTTTCATTGAAACAAATTAGTTTATGAATGATTAATTATTCTTTGTTAAAGAGATTTACATAGCATTGAATAAGATTTTGAAAAATGTTCAGAAATTTTTATCAGTTAGATACAGATTTCAAAAACCTTATCTGTAATTTTAAATGGTTTTGACATATTTGATAAAAGTGTTCCTTGATAATTAAGCATTAACCATGCAATAAATTATTATGGACATTTGACCAAAAAAAATCAAAGTAGTCTACACTTTGGGCTAAAAAATAATAACAGTTTATGATGTATGTTTCAGCGCTATATCCCCTAATGTGAGACGTCGCTCCGATGACCCTGGGCGTGGCAACGCTCTCGCAAACAATCGCCGTAGCAAACTGGAAGTACCGAGGCCCTACCCTCTTACTGCGACATCGGACAAGCGCAAGTCTGAGAGTGTGCCATTCAAGTCGAACAGCATTGCACCTCTGGTGGAGAAGTAGATCGCACATTGTTATACGTGTCAATTGTATTTTTCCACGTTCTATGACTTAGTTTGAATCTTTCATGTTTACACGAATTTTAAAACCGTTTGTTCCCTTAACAAGTTCTTATTATTATTGAGAAATGAAATTTCTTGCACTTGTTGATTTTTGATTGCCCACCGCCATATTGATTACTTCTTGTTAAGTATACATGTCAGCCATGTAATACCATGGACTTGCAGAAACAGGTTTATTAACACGTACACTTCAAAACCAGCTTAGCATTGGTAATTTCATATGATTATATTACAAATAAAATATTTTGTGACAGAGAATTTGTATTAACCTCTTTTCACTTGTCGCCAAGTGAGATGAATGTATATGAACATCGGTTGGTTGTTGGCCGGTGTATTTTGACCAATACAGTTTCTCTCGTTAGTGTGATTTTAGGACTAGTCGCTGGTTATGGAAAAATGTCTGCGATAGCTGCTGTATCCTGTAGGATGCCGTTCTTCAGAAGCCAGCATGGTTCTGTAGTACTGTATCCCAACACGAAGATGCCAGTAACAACAGACTTAACCCTTTCAACACCATAGACCATAATGGACTCATCCATATCAATGCATGGTAGAGTCTACTAAAGTTACATAGGGGTGAAAGGGTTAAAGATATTTTTGTTAAAATATCAGAAATTTTTCAAATTGATAAATTTTCAAAAAAATGTTTGAATATTTTGAAGAAGTACAATTTTATCTCATTGTAGACTTAGAGTGACTGTAAAAGCGTTTTCACTGTCAGTATGTCTGTATGGGGTTCAAATCACTGTCAGTATGTCTGTATGGGGTTCAAGTGTGGAAAAAAATTAAATATGTTTAGATAATTGTAGACAATGTTTAGAATGATCTCCCCTGGCTTTGGTGCAGTTCTTTTAAAAAATGTTCTAGTTGATCACAGAATTAACATTTCTTATTCAATACTTGTTCAAACACAATGTAGTACTGTTTCCTTGCTGTAATTCAGCAATTGTGGAATTGTTCTCAGATCTTTCCTTGCTATACTTGAGCTGCAATCATGTGACGAAAATTTCCCAGTCAGATCACACTTATTGTTGACACTGTTAGCGTACGCTTTTTATATGGATAGATGTGTATTTCAAAAATATTTTAACTAACATACATAATCCAATTTGGTCTTCTCTTTTTTTGTTCTTTTTTAAAACTTTGTATTAAAAGAAATTGTGTGCACTTCCAATTTGAGTAAGTGATGGAATTGTATAGGTGATTTTGTAGATATGTAGCTAAAAATATGTCTAGACAATATTTTTTATTTTTTTATTTTGTGTTCATCAGTGGAAGGTTTTATATGAAGATTCTTCAAGAAAATGATACTTTCACTATTTAAAGGACTGTGCAATACCTGAGCTGCTCCCGCCTCTTCACTATACAGAGTAAAACCTTGTTATACTGCCACCATTTGTCCAGAGAAATGTTGGCGTTATAAGAGGAGATTGGAGACATATTGAGAGAGATGTATAAGAAACAGGAAAAGAGGACATTGAACCGTGTGGGCAGTATATTATCAAGCTGTCAAATGACAAGGGCGTTATATCAGGGTTTTACTGTATGGTATTACAGTCAGGTCAACATTGTATGTAGTCTCTGTTTTTATTGTTAAACAGGATATTATACAGTGTCAACTGTATGGTATGCACCGTCGTTAGTGTTCGCAGTACTCGAAAAAAATTGTCTGAAGGGGTGCTTATTAATTAACATATCGTAACGTAAGTTGTGGCAGTTGTGGTGCTGCTCCATAACTGTCAGACACATTCTCAAGGAAAATTCCCAAATTGTTGGGTCTTTTTCTAAAACACTGGAAAATGTGTATACTAAACTGGAACGGACCAGGATGTTGGGGTGTTTATTTCATTTTGATAGGTGTCGAAGAAAGAACACAGGCACGGATAGCTAGACGGGTGCTAATTAGGGTGAATACGTTATCCACAATTTGAACTGAATACACTGTCCAATGATGCATAACCAATTCATGTACAGACTGTTGCTAAAAAAAAAAAAAGCCAGAGAAAATGAATAATTACCTGTTCACCCCTAGGTAACTTTAGTAGACTCTACCATACATTTATCGGGATGGGTCAATTGTGGTCCACAGTGGTGAAAGGGTTAAATAATTCATATTTGAGGTGTAATCAATGCAAATATGACTCCATATAAGTATCCCTCCAACACCAGGATACGGTAAAACATGTGAGTAAAGGTTATCAAGCAGTTACATTTATCTTAGTCATTAGTTGATACAAGATCCCCATGGTGGAAGTAACAAGTTGTGTTCATGTATTTCTGAAAAACCTTATCTAACGCTACAAAATCAAATTGTTTCAAATTGTTTTAAACTTTAAGTTAAAATATTATATAAAATATATTTACATATCTAAATCCATTATAAATTTGTAGATCACTTTTTTTCATTATGAACGAAGCAGTATTAACGATGATATATGGACAGCATTTCCAATAAGATTTTTATTATAAAAACTGTGCCAAGTTTACCGTACCTTCACACATGTTCTGTGGTTGGGTTTCCGTCTAGGGTTGAACCCATTTATTTGGTTTCTTGATTATCGAGATTGTAAACAAGTTCTCCAACTGTTTTTCAATGTTCTTACATCAATGTAATCAAGTTACTGAATCTTTTTCGTAAAATTCTAGTTAATTTGATTTTGAATTGAAATTGAATATGATAATATTTCTCTATTAAAGACTACAAATAAACAGAAGCCAAAATAGTATTGTGTGCATCTTTTTAATTTGTCATATATTAGACAGATTTTTTCCCCAGATGTATTTTTACCTTAGCGAATTGATTGTGTTTTCTGGGCTTAACCAACTGTGAGAGTGGAGTAAAATGAGATTCTGAAATTTGGTTAAATTTTTGTTTAAAAATTTCAAAAATTGAGAAACCAAATAAGTGGTACAGTATCCGTATCTATCTTATAAATATTCACTATAAAACACCCGACAACATTTTCTTTACATTATCAAAACAATCTTATTAACATGTTAGTTCTTTTTTTAGATTCTTTATTTTCTACATAATATTCATCCATTACATTATTGTTCAAGAAAATTTATTTTGTAAAATGCTCACATTATTATATCACAGAAAAAGAATATCTTCAAAAGGTGGTTTCCATGCAGATTTAACACTGTAAAGGGAGATAACACATGAATTTTATTTTTGCATTTTGTACTTATTTCAATTTCATTAACCTTGGTTCATATTTTATGAAATAACAAGTTCAAACTCATTATTTTAATAAATAAAAATTTTTTTTTTTTTACAAACTCACTTTAAAATAAAATTAGTTAATTACATTTTTTGGAAATGGTGCCAAATAAACTTTTCTTGACGAGTTTCTTCACTTTTTTAAACTTGTTAGTTACAGTGTGTGTACTTTTTTCCCTTGAATACTATTGCCATTTTCAGGTTACAGATAAGAAAATAAGGTATCGTTAAATTTAACAAAGATTTCCTGGGTAACAAAAACAAAATGTTGCCGAGTTATTCTGTTCAGCAGTAAAATACATGCACTGTCCATATTAATATCATTTGAAGATATAGAATGATAAAATATTTAGATGATGCTACTAGTATTTCAAATTAATACAGGCTAACAAAATCTAACCAAAATGTTAATGCCTCATATCCCTGCGCTGCTAGACCCAGATTTTGTAAATAGTTTATGTTATGCCACTGGCCCCTGTGCAATATGACTTATCATTTCAATTGTCTCCTTACTGTATAGTAAGCTACAGGCCCCTGTGCATCCTTACTGTATAGTAAGCTACAGGCCCCTGTGCATCCTTACTGTATAGTAAGCTACAGGCCCCTGTGCATCCTTACTTTATAGTAAGCTACAGGCCCCTGTGCAGAAGGAGTTGGAGTCTCCAGCTGTTATAGTTGTTGTCATGGAGACAGCAAACGCAAAAGTTAAACTGTCTCATTTCGGGAGATTATCATTCCGTATCGCTGTTCTGCATCCCATCACAGGACATTGAAATTGATTATAACAACATTTTTAGATTTTTGTCCATCATGACTTTTGATAGGTATTTTATATTTGTTAAGTTTATTGCAATGGTTATTTCATTTGGCTGAGGATGTTTCGAGCTGTAATGTTTTTTATATATGATTTTGATATGTTGACTTTTTGTGCCAGGGAGAATTATGATATTGAAGCTATATAAGTATGTATATATTTTGAGCACACAATGATAAATATCTACACCTAACTGCTATGTTATTCTAGTCATAAACATCTTTTTATTTATCCTCTATATGTGCAATGTTCTTTTTTAATAGAAATGTTAGAGTTAGAAATCTAACACTTCCTTCTCTTTATATTTTTAAAAAGTAATAAGTTTTCTTTATATTCATGTATTTCTGATCACATCCACGTGTTATGTCACTAGTAAGCTAGTTTATAAGCCAGAATTATTTCTGACAAGATTCATGTTTTTTTTCTAGATGCCTTTCAGCATACTTAACAACTTTTTGAAATTTCAATAAGGAAGCTTATGCATGCTCAGAAATAAAATATGTGTTTGTACACCCTAGAGGAAAAAATAACACTTTTAAAAGGCATCTTTTCAGCTGTTCTTTCAGGTGAAATAATCAGATATTAGAAAATAGGAAAATGCTCAATTTAAGGGTCAAAAACTGGGAGTTTCCTACAAAATAAGGGGAGTTGGCAAGTATGGGTCTATGTAAAATTTGTATTTATAGCCCATTACTATTGATCTGTTTTGTTGATATTTGCTAGTAAATGGGTACCAGAAAAAATATTTTAAAAATTGTCTGTTGAGAATTTTAAACAGAAATGAAGTGAACACCATTGTTTTCCCATGTCCATGCATTTGTGACAAAATGTCAGTGCATGCTTCTTTTTCAAAGAAACGATATATAGTATTATTTTGTCAAACTTTTGTCATCTAAATTAGTGTACAATTTGAGGTAGGATAGATAATGTTTTTGCTGATAGTTAAAATATCACTTCATATCTTATCTCACAGTTTGCACTTGACTTGATATTCAGTCATACATCAGCTTTCAAGGAAACATTGTCAGTTTTGTATATTTCTTAGAACAGCAGACCGCTCTGTATATATTATGTCAACAGTGCCAGGCCCTATATGTCTGTTAGTAGTCTACAACAACGGAGGGCTCTGTATGTAGTATCTATCGGTCAGTAAGAAACGTAGGGCCCATTCATGTTTCATCTGGTAAAAATTCTCTTTTTTTTACTAGTTCAACAGGACAAATAGTCTTGCTATGACATTCTCGGTTCACAGATAAATGTAAACAGGAACTTTTTCCTTGAGTTTGATTATATTCTTAGATAAAGTAGAAATATGAAACAATGGAAAAGAAGTTTTTAGATACTTTCTGCTGCATATCAGCATGCTATGTCAAGTGGTCATACTAAACAGTGAGAAATCGATTCACTGGAGTGCAAGTGTGACTGGAGTTGTGTTTTAGTTTTATAGTAGACTGATTACCCAAACAGAGTCGGATACAAAAACACTGCTCTTATGTACACCTATGGAAATATCTTTTTGTGACTTTTCAATTCA